AGGACAAAGCACATATGAAGAGCTCAATAAATTCTGGATTCACCTTAACATTTCTAAAATTATTGCAAAATGCTCATATGAACTCAGACTGAGGAAGGTAACAGGTCTCTGTTAGAAGTAGGGAATTGTGCAATGTGAGATTTGGGGGGATTACTGTCTCAAGTCATGTTTTTTTCTGGAATGTAAACTACTGGAAGGACAGTATAATATGGTGGTTAAGAGTGCAAAGTCTGAATAGAGACTATTAGGGTTCAGATTCAGCTCTACCATTTGCTATCTGTAGGACATTGTGCAAATAAGCCTCTGTGTAACTCATTCTCTTTTATAAAAGAGATTATAATAACGTCTCTCTCTCTGGATTGTTAAGAATTTTAAATGAATCGCTATATGCAAAGTATCTAGGACAGTGTCACAAAATAAGTGCTATATAAACTGAGATAGACTAGCTGTATTGAGGCCATATTGAATGTAAAGATCTCTCGTTACTCAGCTGTGTTTGTTCTTGTTTCAAAAAGCTTAGAGACCTTGAAGTTTTAAAACATTAAACAATATTTTACTAAGTTCAAAGTAATGGGTAGCTTAAGTACCAGTGACTACTGGTGTAAATCACTGGTGGCTGGCATGTGTGTGTGTATGTACACATATATTTGCATGACTTGGGAATAGAGTGTGGTCTGTGTGCACCCAGAAAAGCAGGGGTCCAAGAAGAATTAAGGGATCCCAGTAAAAGCACCATCCTGTAGCTATTCTGCTACCCCAGGGATTCCCTTAGTGCTACACATTCCCCAGATGGCAATGCCAACCGTGTCTACTCATCTTTTATTACCAGGAAGGCTCTGTTCTTCTGTGAATTTCCTTTCCATTCATTTCCAAATGAGTTTTCTGATATGAGCATTGTTGAATATGCACAAGAAAGAGCAAGATAGAGGCAGCAGGTATGAGTGTGGCTAGATTTGCATAAGTATAAATACAGTATATGTATCCATATTTAAATGATATAATGATAATATTGTGTTGCCATCTCAGAATGAAAGCTAATTAATTCAGCTATTGAGATGATAATGATTTCTTTCTCAGTTAATACCAGAGTTAAAACACACACACACACACACACAAAAAAAAAAAAAACCCTGCAGAATTGTTCTATGCACCATTCCTTTGACTCATCTTGGAATAAGGAGTTTTGTTCTGTTAAGTATTGAGCTGTCTATCAGTATCTATGACAGTTTTAAAGGGAATCATTCCTGGGAGGAGCTGAAGTTTAGTACTACGAAGACTGAATCATGAAGGTTAGGTTGTTCACTGAGCTCATGATTTGATACAAGGGAAAATGGGTCTCTTTTTTCAGCCTCTTTTAAAATGCATTCTTTGGTATTTGCACTGTCAGTATCAATCCTGATCTGAAGCACAAAGTCTTTTTTTAGACTTTATTTGGCTGGATTTGACATTTAAGAAAACGTTATACCTCTCTCCTACTGAAATTTACACCAGCTGACAAATTCACAAGCAAGTCTATGACTTTTTTTAACCTTGACAAGTCTAACTTTTCTTCAGCCTCTGTTTTCATAGTAAGTTACCAAAGTCTAGAGTGTTCTCTCCCTGTCCTGCTTTCTATCCTCTCCCAATCCAGTTCAGGCATCTAACACCTCTTAGCTCACGATGGTAGTCATCCTGACTTCCCAGTCTCCCCTCTCCAAGCTTTCTAGCTTCAGGGATTCTTCCCTGTATGCAGGTTAGGTTATACCTCCCTGTCCATCTCTTTAATGACTGCTCTCTATTTGGTGAAGACTCAACTCCTTTGCTTGGCCTTTAAGGGAATTTAATCACATCCTTTTCCCCTTACATCCTCTAACCATCTCTCACTAGTGCCCCCACACTCTACCCTTCTACCATGCTCCAAGTTCCTTGGAATTTCTGAAACACCCTTACTTTGCCCATTTCCCAGAATGTCTTTCCTCCCCCTTGGTCCATGTTTCAAAGTCCCACTTATTCTCCAAGGCCTTTCTCAAATCCCTACTTCTCTGATTCCCCCTACTTGGAATTAATTAGGGTCACTTTAAGCCCATGTAATGCCTTTTCTTCCAGACACTTATTTTTTCGGTGTTGGGAAATCATCATATTATACTTACTTTATCATAGCAATTTTTTGCCTGCTTCTGAAAAATTGTCATGATAAATATGCAAATTTCTATGTAATTTGCAATGTAATTGCTGCCCCTCTTCCCTAAACATGACACAACCTTTACAAGCATATGTCATGCCATGAAATAATCACTTTTGCTTCTATAGGTCAATAATTTATTATTTAATTGGTTATCTAATCAGTCTATCTTGTATTATGCTGTGAATTTACTTCTTCATCATCCCACTAAGTTGGAATCTGCAGATAGCAATGTCTTATTCATCTTGTTATCTCCCAGGTCAGAGCATGTGTTAACTTTCTCTTATGACTCAAGGGAGGCAATCTTAGTAAACTTGTTAGGAGTATGAACTTTAGAGTAAGACTTCCTGGGTTTGAACCCTCCCAGTCCACTCATTAAACGTGATCATGACCAAGGAATTTATTAACTTCTTTGTACCTTTTTTCCTTCATTTATAATATGGGAGGATGTAATATCATCTTCATCATAAAATTTATATAAAAATTAAATACTGAAATGGAGGTAAAGTGGCCAGAACAATAGCTAGTAAATACTTAATAAATTTTAGAAATTATTCTAACAGTCTGTTAAAATATGAGGTACTCTTGTCTCAGTTATGACATGAAGACACTGGTTGCTACATTCAATAGTGAGCCCATCATGTAGAAATTCACAGTGGATATTCAAGGACCAGTTAAACATCTCACTTATTTTGAGGATACAAATAAATCAGCAGTTGGAAATTATAGAAAGGTCTTATAATATTTTTTAAGACAGAGAGAGAATTTTTTAATATTTATTTTTTAGTTTTAGGTGGACACAACATCTTTATTTTATTTTTATATGGTGCTAAGGATCAAACCCAGCACCCCGCGCATGCCAGGTGAGCGCGCTACCACTTGAGCCACATCCACAGCCCCTCTTAAAATATTTTGAAGCATGCAATTAGTGTTCTATGAATCTTTCATCCCCATAGCAAAGGTGCCACAACTGGTATGTGTAGTACCTTTGTGAGAATTAGAAAAATGTGTCCCTTCCTCGGTAAAATATATACATAAAGACATCCTGCTTCTCCAGGCCCAGAGAAAGTATCTACAACAGGATCATTTGAGAATATTGTTGCATCCCTCCTGAAATTGAGGGATGTAAGGTTTGGTGTCTATCATTTACCTGAGAAATTGAAAGGCAGGTGGCTGACCATTTATGGATAAGTGGGAGAGATTTATCTGTTCCATAGAGTTTGTTGCATCAGAGAAAGTCAGCATTAGATTATCATAAGTCCATGCCAAGAGTACCACAGAGTTAGGCCTCAGTATAACCAGTGTGGAGTGAACTGCCAAACTCCTAGGTGCTGGAGAAGGGAATACAAGCCATGGGACAGAATAGAAACTTATTTGCTCTGATCAAGGAAGTACCGAAGAAAGAATCCCAATGATAGAAGGAGCTCTTTAGAGAACCCAACCCAAGGAAGAAGAATCAACTTTAAAACTTGTTAAGGATAACCAGCTTATGACACTACAGTACTTCCCACTCTCCACAGATGATATATGTTCCATGACCCCCCAATAGATGCCTGAAAACATGGATAGTATCAGACCCTATGTGCACTATACATAACATGCCTGTGGTGAAGTTCAGTTTATAAATTGGGCATAGGAAGATATTGCCAACAATAACTAATAATAAAATATAACAATTGTAACAATATCCTGTAATAAAAGTTAAGTGAATGTAGTCTCTTTCTCAAATGCCACTGGGTGGGGGTAGTATATAGGGTGGATATGATAGCCAAGGGCTGAGTCACATACTGAGTGGCATGGAATGAAACTGCAAGATTTCATCACACCACTCAGAACAGCATGCGATCTGAAACTTGTGAGTTGTTTATTTCTGAAATTTTCCACTAATACTTTCAGACTGTGGTTGATCACGGGTAACCAAACCTCAGGAAGTGAAACTGTGGATAAGAGTATAGGACTATGTACCAAGCAATTAAGCATTTTCCTGTCACTTCTCCCTTGCCTCCCACAATCTTCTCTCTCTTCACCAATCCCCCTGACACTGGAGGTGTCAGAAACTGTGGTTAACCAGATAGAGGAAAATAGGAGAAGTGGGACATGGGGAAAAGGAGAAGCAAAAGATGAAGCCTGTCACACTCCTTTTCTGACTCTACCCATCTTAACCGTAATAGGCTGAAGCTGTGCTCCAGTTTCTCAGGGGAGACGTTTGCTTTTAAATCAAGGTTGGCATTTTTATTATTATGACAGATTGGCAACATAGTAACATGAATACAACTTTCTCCCTAACTGCTTGATAAACACCAAAACACTTTCCCAGACTTGGATCATTGCTCTCTTCCTGTCCTGACTTCTCCATCCAAGACTGACCATTCTCTGTGTCTGCTGGGCCCCAGCATAACCTCCTGGTAGAACCTGTGCAATGCTTAATTTCGTGTGTTTAATTGTGGGTATGTCTTTGCTTTCAGTCAACCTTTACACTCTTGGAATTGAGGGATGAATTTTTTGCTTAGAGAGCACAAGTACCAACACTCGCTGGCATAAAATTGTCCCTCCATAAAGATCTATGAAAGTAATTTATCATGCGATACGAACTGGTAGTTTTCTAAGAGAGACTATAATTCAAACTTGTCTTTATTTTTTTGAGAGGTAAATTAAAAAAAATAGCAACCTTCTTAACACGGTGTAATTGAAAGTACCTTTTGTTATAGGGGTACTCAAGGAGTGCCTGGGTGCTGGCTCTCCAGCAGTTCATGAGAAAACATTCTGGCATCTCTGGCTCCAGATGTGTTTTCCTGAGTGGTTAGGGGCCTTTTGACATTCTTCAGTGTTTCTTCCACAGGTTTCTTCAGGAGAAGCATTACCAAAAATGCTGTGTACAAGTGTAAAAATGGGGGCAACTGTGTGATGGATATGTACATGCGAAGGAAGTGCCAGGAGTGTCGGCTAAGGAAGTGCAAAGAGATGGGAATGTTGGCTGAATGTATGTATACAGGTATTCACTTCAAGCAATTAAATTCCACTAAAAATCTCTTAAGGAGGCAGATGCCAGGTAAAAATCATATCGCAAGAATGATACTTCACATATTAAAGAGGGAATCTGCTGAGCCATTTAAGTTCTTGAAAAGGGTCATGAACCACTGAAATTGTCCAAACGTCATCTAAAGAGCATCTTGTTCACCTGAAAGAAATGACTGTTGTTTGTTGTTCTTTGTTGTAAGGAACTATACATGGAGTGAAGTGTCTTTAACATGCAGTTTAAATAACATGCTTAATATGCTACAAAGAATGACAGTCTGAAAGTCTCCTCCAAATTTGATTTTAATCTACTCCTTCTTTATTACTTAATTAACATAAAATTTATAGTTGTGGGAAAAAAGTAAGAATGCTTCATAGGGTATAGCCACCTCTGAATGGTCTAAATAGAGTTTTAAACCAAGTCATTTTATTAAGAATCCATTTTCTCCTAGTGCAGCTTTGAACCAATTTGTATAGGTTTACACAGGAAATTAACTACCCTGAGTTTTAATATAATTTTGTCCTTCAATCTGATAAAGAGACACTGTATTAACTGCTGGCTTTGTGAGGGACCGCGATCTTCATCAAAAACTGGAATGCATGTTAGTATATAACATAATTAATTTTTCATTCTGCAAATGCTACAGAGCACTCAGATTCTGAGATATGTCCTGTTCCTCCTCAAAACACAAATAGACAAACAAATGTCACCAAGGGGACGATGGCATTCAGGGAGGGAATGCCACATGAAATAAAAGCCTGTGGAAGGTGACTCCAGTTCTATTGTTCCAGTTTTATTGTTCCCAAATAGTACAGGCAACTGGGATGGACCCAGAAAAATAATGTATGCAGGAGAAGGGAAAATAGGTCTGTGTAAATAATCCAGCTCTAGGTGGATGAAAGTTTTATAGTGGCTGATCCCAATCTTATTTTAGCATACATGAAACAAGATCCCAAGCAGGGGCTGCTGCTGGAATCCAATCTTGCAATGGAAATAGTTTGATACTGCGTGGTTCATGTTGCTCATCACTTAAATATGAACTTGTTCCAGTTGAAGCTCCAAAGACATTTTGTATGAGTCCCTCTATAAAAGTCTATAATATAATTTATGAACATAAACTTTTTCAGTAACAGATATAGATATTTCATAAATCTATAAAATAAATTTCCTGCACAAAGAACATTCTGGAACTTCATTTTCACTTAAGTAAATAACTTAAGTGTGAACATGGAAGATTGTTCTACATTTTTTTATAGCTTTGTTTAAGTGTAAATCAGTTATGATATTGTATGAGCATTTAAAACCATTTTTTTTTCAGGCATCTTGCTTGATAGTCAGATTTCCATCACAATAAAAAGTACTTGAGATCATTTAACTTATAAAGAGAAAAGGCTTATTTTGGGTCACAGTTTTGGGGGTTCCAGTTCATGATCTGTGGGACTCATTGCTTTTAGGCCTCTGGTTGGGGTACCCAGTGGCAGCGGTGGAGAGGCAGGCGGAGGAAATTGCTCACCTCATGACCAGAAATCAAAAGAGAAAAAGGGAGGAAAGGGCCCTACAAGCCCCCTTGAGGGCACACTCCCAATACCCTAAGGACCTTCCTCTAGGCCCCACTTTCTAAGGGTTCCACTGCCTCCCAAGGGCATATACTAGAGACCCAGCCTTTAACACCTGGGTCTTCTGGGGACATTTAACATCCAAACTATAGCATTTCTTGAGTTATTTTAATATTTAACTATAATTTCAATAATTTATATAGTTATAGAAATTGATAAGATTTTGTTTTCCTAAAGGATGTTAATATTTGTTTTACTCAACAAATTTAAATGTGAACACAAATATACTTCTTATGGCATAGTATATAACATGTATCAAAATAATATTAATCTATTTTGAATTAACGACTTTCCAGATCCCCTAGATTAGGAATGGGGAGATTGTCATTCACCTTTTTATTGATTGTCTTGCATTGTATATAATGCTTTAATATCACAAATTCTTCATATAAAAGCCATCATTAAAAAATGATTTGATTACACTTAATCTACAAAAAAAATCAGAGGTGGATATTATTTGCATTTTACAGATGAAGAAATTGAGATTCACAGAGGTTAAACTTCTTATTCAAGGTCAAGTCTTTAAATCTCAGCCTTCTGTTTTTAAATATCTAAAGAGCTGGAATTAGTTCCTTGCCAAGTTGCACAGATTGTCTGAGCCAATCATACAACTATTTCATGACCACACACCTAACAGAACTTTCTGTGATTGATAAAGTCCCTACGTTCATTTTTTCAGGCTTGTTAACTGAAATTCAGTGTAAATCTAAACGACTGAGAAAAAATGTGAAGCAGTATGCAGATCAGACCATTAATGAGGACAGCGAAGGACGGGACTTGCGACAAGTGACCTCAACGACTAAGTCATGCAGGGTAATAACATGCAGTGGTGTCTGCCAAAGCCAGCAGGAGTCTAGCGCTCTGGCTGGGAGACTCAGATTAGAGCCATAGCCACAGCAGAATTCCCATTTCCATTTTGCCTTAAAATGGATCCCTTCTTTTTTTTTTAATCAAGAGAAAAATACATGCTTTGTTGAAAAAATTCAAATAATAGCAATGTATAAGGTGAAAAGTGAAAGTTTTTATTCTGAAAAGGGCCAAAGAGAATTTCATCCATTTTTTTTTATTTTTTAGTTGTAGTTGGACACAATACCTTTATTTTATTCATATATTTTTATGCGGTGCTGAGGATCAAACTCAGGGTCTTGCGCGTGCAAGGTGAGCGCTCTACCTCTGAGCCACAACCCCAGCCCCAATTTCATCCATTTTTACTTTTTCAAAATATATTATCTTGTATTCATCTTGGAAAAAAATAATTTTGTAGAAAAATATTATTCTTTTAAAAAATTTTTAAAATATTTATTTTTTAGTTATAGGTGGAAACAATATCAATATTTTATTTTTATGTGGTAATGAGGATTGAACCCAGTGCCTCACGCATGCTAGGCGAGCGCTCTACCTCTGAGCCACAACCCCACCCCCCCAAAAAATATTATTCTTCCCTAGTGTTTCATCAGCAACACTTTTTGGTATAAGGAAACAAAGAGTTGACACAGTTATTCATATTCCTTAAAAGATGCTATCAAGAGGGAAAGAAATGTTTGAGATCTGAATTGTCCTGATTGACGACTCTCTGTTTTGGGGATCAGCAAACCTTTTCCCCCCTGTTAAGTGCCAGATATTTGGGGATTTTGTCACATAGTCTCTATCACAACTATTTGACTCTTTCATTTTAGTGCAAAACCAGCATAGACAATACATCAACAAAAGAGTGTGGCCATGTTTCAATAAAACTTTATTTACCAAAGTAGGTAGTTTGGTCCATGAGCCAGTTTGTCAACATCTGCATATAGAATAATAAGCTTAGCTGGAGTCTCCATTTTCATGCAGGAACATTTCCTTACTTTTGATTAAACCTTGAACTTCCCCTGACCTTCAATGTGAAGGGGCTTAATAGGCTTTCATGTGCACACTATAAGTTATTCTTAAGAAATACATGAAAGGCATATTTTGTTATACATATTTTCTAGATAGGAAAATGAGTAACTTGAAACAAATGTAAGGAAGAATGATATTGCCTGCCCCAAGACCCACAGAAAGCTCTTAATTACACACTATATTAAGCTTCATAGTTCCTGCTGTACTTAGGGCATTTCTCAATACTTTGCTATCAGTTCACTCCAAGTGAATGCACATATAGGAAGAATGACTTATAACCGCCCTCCCTAACACCTTTTATTTTCTTGCCAGTGTAGGAGAAAAATGAACTCACCCCAGATCAACAGAATCTTCTACATTATATTATGGATTCATATAGCAAACAGAGGATGCCTCAGGAAATCACAAATAAAATTGTATGTATAATATTTAAAAAATATATTTCTTTAAAGTTAATGTTTTCTAGAGCTTTTATTACCTTGGATGTGAAATTTTTATATGGGTATGTTACTTGAAATAATTCAAACTAAAAATTTAAGTTCTAAATTTAAACTTTTAGCAGCATTAAGCAATTAAAAAGGAAGAAGTCACACATCTATCTTGTTAATAGTTGCTCTCCAAAGATCTGAGAAATATGAGCTGGGTTTTAAAATTTCATTATCTCAATTTTGTTTTCCTTTAGTCTAATGATTTTATATTGATTTATCCTTTTTTCTATCTATTTATTAATCATTTGCTTTTTTCTTAAAATTTAGTTAAAGGAAGAATTCAGTGCAGAAGAAAATTTTCTCATTTTAACAGAAATGGCTACCACTCATGTACAGATTCTTGTAGAATTCACAAAAAAACTTCCAGGTAGTATTTTTTAAATAATAAAAGCTAATATTTATTGAGTGTTTATTTGCCACAGATTATATTGATCACTTTACATATAATGGGTTTGTTTGTTTTTTTTTTTTTTGAGTCTCAAACATTCCTTTGGGATCAGATCTTTTATCACTATTACTGTTGGCAGGTACCTTTACATGTAGTCACTTCTCTGCTATGCTGTATAATATTCTTGTGACACTGAGTGTAGGGCAGATATATTTATTGTGTGATGAGAATCATCTCACATCCTATTCGTATATAACCATTATAGACATGAAAAATTAGAGTTATAAAGGATATTTAATATCACTTATAAAGATTCTTCCAAATCAATAGAAATTGGGACTTTGTAAAGTTGTCATTCATCCACTTGTTCATCCAATAAGTAATTGTTGATACTTACTCTGTAAGTATCTAAATGCTTAGCTGCTTAGCTATTACCTTCAAGAAAAGTGGTTACAGGCTATTAAAACATGCACGCATACACACATACACACAAAATGAGCTGTTAGAACAGAGAGGGAACAGTTACTCATTGTGTCTGAGAAAGACAGGGAGACTTCAGAGAGAATTATATTTGTGTTGAATAGAACACAAAGGAGGTTTTCAGTTGGCATGGAGAGGAGCTTTCCAAGTTGAGAGATCTTATGAGAAGGTAATGAGGCAATAACAAGAACAGGATTGTTAAGAGATGGGAGAGGAAATTCAGTGTGACAATAACATGATGTCTGTGGTGGACTCCTTCATTTGACAGTAAAGCAAGTTGGTACAGATGACAAGGACCTAACTAAGGAATTTAATCCTTGCCACCCCCCCCCCCAGGGTGATGAAGACATTTTGATGGCTTCTCATTTTGTAGAGAGGGAAATGATACAATTTTTCTTGTACGAAGGTGGTTTTATCAGGGTCATAAAAGATGGATTTGAATAGGAAGGGATGGGAGCTGAGAGGACCAGCTAGTAGGCTATTGCACAAGACCTGTCAAGAGGGCTTGAAATAAAGCAATAACAGTGGGAGAGGGAAGAGGAACAAAATGAAGACAGATGCAAAATGACAGGACTTGGTGAACAGTGTACATGTTAGGTAAAGGAGAGGGACTTATCAACAGTCCTGTCTGTGGTGCAGCACAGAAACTAGAATGCGGGAGTCTTATCTTCTAGCCTAAAATTCTTTCTGCTGCATTATCAGTGCCCTCTAATCTAATCAGTTGAAATTGTTACAGTGTTTTAAATTAAGAAAAAATTTTTAGTGTATCAAATCCCTGGTTTTAAAGAGTATAATAGATACCTTGCAAAACTCTGTAATGTAAATTACTGCTGTTCTGTCATAAGATTTTAATTTGGTATGTTAATTTGCCCTCTTTTGTCAGCATTATGCTGTTATTTTATTAAATGTGTCACAGGAAGAAGTCTACATAAAACTAATAAAATGTGGGGAGAAAGTTCTTGTTATCATTGAAACATTGATATTCTTTCATTTCTTTGTTAGCAATGAAAGATAAACTTAATTTGCTATAGCTAATTAATTCAAAGGCAATCTTGATCAAAAAACAGGATTACATAAAAGTGAAAACTGTATGTGCTGGGAGGAGCTGAGAAAAGGAAAGAAATGTGATATTTTTGGTTACTTATGGGAAAGGATTTTTCAGTTCAAATGGTCAGTTGGTCTTGAATCAAGAAATAATTGAAGACAAAGAAATCTTATTCATACGAAGGTAGCTTACATGAAAGCAATGGCTATATATTAACATTTCTTCAAAATTCTCAGTGCCTAGCCTAGTTCCTGAGGGAGAGTACATTTAATGTATATTCAATGAGTAAAGCAGAAGGAAAACAATACAAATACAGGAGAAAATATGATGCAAAAAAAATAAACCCTCAAGAAGGAAAAATTATTTTAAAACAATTGCAGAAATTACAATGTTATTATATTCAACAATATAACATCAATACTGAAAGGGTATTTTCAGAAGATTCCAGTTGAGTGTTTCCCTTTAGTTCCTTGAGCAGAGCCTGTGTCAGGCTCTGTCCAGGGTGCTGGAGACCCAGAGGGAAGTAGAGCATGGCTCCTTCTCTCAAAGGAGCTCTTGGATACTCCAAGATAATAATGTTTTTTTTTTTTTTTTTTGGTGGTATGTGGGATTGAACAGCCCAGGGGTGCTCTATCACTGAGCCACATCACCAGCCCTCTTAATTTTTATTTTGAATCAGGGTCTCAAAAATTGGTCAGACTGACCTTAAACTTGTGATCTTTCTGCCTCAGCCTCCCAAATCACTGGAATTACAGTGCACTTGGCAGGATAATGACTCTTAATCATTAGCATTGCTGTCTTCTTTAAATTTTGGTTGCTATTTAATTCCTTCCTAAGCCATGTAGATCCTAATGGTATTAATTACCTCTATTAATGTGTGTGTGTGTGTGTGCACGTGTGTGTGTGTGTGTACCAGCATGCACACAAATTTGTGTTTTTCCCTCTTTGATTCAATCATTCAATTATCCAACAAATAATTTTCAGGTACCTATGATGTGCCAGTCATTGTGGATACAACAGTAATAAAACAGATAAAAATCTGTGCCCAAAGAAGTTTGTACTCCAATAGACATGGCAGACAATGAACAAATAAGCAAATAAACCTATAATATCATGTCGGGTGGTGGTAAGTTCAATGAACAGATATAAACCAGGTAGGGATTAGTGAGTGCTGGGGAGACTATTTTAGTAGGGTACCCCTAAAACAGAGATCTGATGGCACTGATGGAGTGGAGCATGGATGTATCAGGGAAGAGCATTCATCCCCGAGCAAATGCAGGCTCATGGGTTCATAGCAGAACCAGGTTGTCAGTGTGGCTGATGCACAAAGAATGAAGGAAGAAGAAGAGAATAAGGTCAGAGAGGGTGTTGGGACTTTACCACACATGCCTGGATAAGGACTTTGCCTTTTCCAGGTGGTTTTATATGCCTTCAGGCTGGTGATTTGTTCCTATATTAGTCTGTTTTCCTCTATTTTGTATGATAAGTCTTAAACTCAGAGAAGATACCTAAATTTGACTCTGATAGAATTTTGGTGGAGGAATGCTACTCGTTCTCTAAATTTTGACTAAAGACCCATGATATGCATTAAAAATTTTTTTTCTAGCTGTGGATGCTTTCATTCTTCAGAGTTGACTCTGCACAACTAAACTAATGACTCAAAGATAATCTGCCAGCCTCTTGTTTCTTAGGGTTGACTCATTTGAATTGGTCTGTCTCAGCCAGGTATTTGGCATGGTCTTGACAACTCCTTTTGCCTAACTTGTCCAATAAATCCTACTTAATGAAGATAAAAGTCAGCTTCTATTTTGGGGAGTACAAGAAATACTCAGTGAACTCAAGCTAAATACCCAATCACAAAACAATTATAAAATTGCTTTATAGAAATGTTTTATCAATGGTGATGGTGGTGGTGATAAAATCTTAATATACATATAAAATGTGAAATATTATACAAACAACTCCTTGATTCTGATTTGATTATCATCTGTACTCAGGATTTCAGACTTTGGACCATGAAGACCAAATTGCTTTGCTAAAAGGGTCTGCGGTTGAAGCTATGTTCCTCCGGTCAGCTGAGATTTTCAATAAGAAACTGCCAGCTGGACATGCTGACCTATTGGAAGAAAGAATTCGAAAGAGTGGTAAGTGATTTGCTTAATGGTAAAGAGTTTGTTTCTGCAACTAAACATTGGTATATCCCAGGAAGGCAGGCTCTTATCTGTCTTATGCAACATTATATGTCCATCATGCCTAGCATGAAGAATGGCACTAAAAAAAATGGGTCTTTTGGAGTCTTGGTACAAAAATCTGTTTTGTAATAGCAAAATACTAAAAATTTTCTCTTTACTGCATTAAGATGAGATGTTAAAGGAAGGCTTTTGAAAAGACTGAAAAATTAGTCTGATTAAAAAAATAACAGAGGAGCTGAGTTTATTCATTACAGAAATATTTATTTATTCAAAAATTTCAGGTGAAATAGACTAGATTCCAGCTACTATTATCCAATTTTCCATCACTATTCAAAATAAAATGAGACACATTTACAATGGCAATTTTTATATATCATTTACTGGGTTCCAGATTCTGTTCTAAATAGTTTTCATTAAATTTTTTAAAAAAATCCTCTGATATGAGTACTATTATTGTTTCTGTTTTTACAGATGAGGAAAGTGAGCTAGAAAGAATTTAAATAACTTTCCCAGAGATGGATAGGAAATCTGACTTCAGAAGTCATGTGTCTTTTTTTTTTTTTCTTTTCACAATGGCAGAAGTTAAACTCAGGTCCTTGCATGTGCAAGGCCACAAGCCATGCATCTTAATCTCTATATTGCACTGCCTTTCAAGAGACGAAAGGAAATAATAACACATGTAACTCAGTTTAACTTATTATGTAGTAATACTGTGACAGAGAGGATCAAGAAATATTGAGATGAGTTTCTAGAAATTCTGAGCAATTTGTCTTAGGAGAACCTTAAAATAGAATATGTTCTTATTTTCCTTAAGGACTTTATGTCTGAGTTGGGGGAGGAGGGCAAATGAGATGAGATGACTTCTCAAAATCTTATCATTCTTTGATTGGTTGGAATAAGTTTAAAGACTTTTGAAAGTATTTTAGAATAGAGATGGGAATGAGAGTGTTCAGGCTATTCTGCATCTGTGATAGTGATATAAATAAGCTAATTGAAGGATCGAAAAGTATTTTTTTAAAAGCTGTCTTTCCATAGTCATTATGTTTTCTCCTCTTGGTCAAAAACTGAAAATTTTTTTTAAAATCCCTGTTCTGTGTTACCAAACACACAAACAAAACAAAACAAAATCTAGAAGTAGAATTACACCACCAGTAGAGTTTAAAAAAACATACCTTTTAAAGATGCATTGTTCTTACACATCCATTGATGTATTGGTTTAACAAATATTTAAGGGCAAGTATTAGTTTAGGCTACTGAATATAAATAGATGATTTCTCTTATGTAGAAAACTGTGACTTTCACCTGTGATGGATTAAAAACCTCATTTGCTTAACTCAGCCGTTTTTTAGGTTCTGGCTTCCATGGACTGTGGCAGGGCTCTCTTTAAAAAAAATCCATGAGTCAAATCTAAGTTATAAAATAAATAATAATGGATGATGACTATGTGGAAAAATATTACTCATTTTATACAGAGGCCTCTTCAACTCTCAAAGGATCCTATTATAGTTAATGTGTGTTTAGATTCCAGAGATGCTGATGGTTAAGAATACTGACTGGTATCTGGCTTGAATCTCAGCTCCAATACTTATTTATTGTGTTCCCCTCACCCCAACACACTTTTCCTTAAAGTTATTGAATTAGACCCTGTAACTATTTGATCTTTTTGAAGTCTAATGTCTGACTGTATTATTTGTTCTTCACCTTGCCTGCGTTTTGATATTACAAACGTCATAAGGCAAGGTCTGCCTCTTCTTGAGTCGGTATTTTATCCCAGGCACCTAACACATGCTTTCCTGAGTAAATGCTCAGCAAATATCCCTTGAATGAAAGAATGAATGAATGAGTGAGTGAGTGGAGACTTGTCTGCAGCTGCCTGGCCCATTAATTTACTTTTCAAGTGGTTCTTCCCTTAGGGTCAGAGTTATTGATATCCCAGACTGACAACTAAATAATTAAAAAGTCCTTTTTTTCCAGACCTTTCCTGTAGCAATTTTGGGGATAGATACCTCTTTTGCACTTGAGTGTAAGCAAAAGAAAGTGTTTGGGCACAGGAGCTCTCTGTGTTCTCTCTTTCCTCCTCTTCCAAGAGGAGTCACTGAAACTTGATTCAGGAGCCAGGCAATGAACATGGGTGTAATTTCTGCCATACGAATTGAAGTGGTTTGATGAGAGGGCATCTGACGGGGAATTGCCCAGCAGCTTTTTCATTGCTCTCTCTTCTGGGTGCTCAGCTCCCATTTTCTTTTCTTCGCCTGTTCCTGTCGGATCTTTGGGGTCCTGAGCTAAGTCAGAGGGTGCCATTTCTTTCTTTTTTAATATTTGTTTTAGTTGTGGGTAGACACGATAACCTTTATTTTATTTTTATTTTTTTAAGTGGTGCTGAGGATCAAACCCAGTGCCTCAGCATGCTAGGCAAGTTCTCTACCGCTGAGCCACAACCCCAGCCCAGGTGGTGCCATTTCTATAACGACCACCATGGCGGGACTGGGTTCCTTCCCCAATTTAGCTGAGGTGGGGAAAATTCTCCCACTGTGATTGAATTGAGAGCAACAGCGGCAGCAGCAGCAACAACAATAACAACACAATTTTTCAAAAAGGTTTACTGAAATACTTAGAGATGTTTACAAAAGGTATGCCTTCAATAATGAATGGATCCGTTAATTATAGTGTTAAAAGAAAATAATTATTCAGCACCTACTATATGTCAGACTTTATTCTAGATGTGTGATCTTTGGGTCCTACAAGAAGCTGATAGCACTTGTGATGCTCAGTCACTGGCTGGGAGGAGACTGGTGTCACCAGCTGGAGGTTATCATTCTACAATGCTCCTACTATGAGCTCCTAAAGGGAGATCTGAGTGGGGCATCTTCACGGCCAATGTCATGCTTCACAACAATACCTAATTGGCTCTTCATAACATTTTGAGGCAGGATATTATGAATCCTATTACAGACCTAGATCCTGTTTATACCAATTACTTCCTTCCTTCAAAATCTCCATCCTAGCCATTTTTTTTCTCTCTGACATTATCCTTAACTCTCAACTCATTGCTTTTATTGATTCAATAATATTTTGCTCCAAAACAACCTCCATTCAGTGACTATCCATCTACCAACCCCCCAGCCATTGACTCTGACCTCAGTTCTTTAGGACCTAAGATTAGGATTCACGGTCCATCAGTCTGATAACTTCCTTGGGTCATTCACTGGATATCCTCAACTCCTTGCCTTTTTGTCCCCATCCCTGAATGAACACAACTCTCCATCGACTCTGCCTGAACCTGAGAACGGTGGCAACATGATCTGGCTTGCTTTATGTTACTGATCACACTCTTCAAGTAGGCCTCAGGCTCTCCATTTATTCCTCTTCTCTAGGCAATTCACTCCAGTTGTCTGGGGAGCTCCCACCTTATACTTTCTCTCTTTTCAGACTCCCAGCATTCCTCCCTCTCCATTCTCAACTGATGACCTTGTTGGGAGAAGGTAGATTTAAGAAGAGGCCAAAGGAATCTGGACTCAAGGAAGTTCTGTCATGCTTAAAGGGAAAGGGACTCCCCAGCTTCGTCAATATGTCAGAATGGGGATTAGATGCAGCATAGGGATCCGCAGAGGTTCCTGAGTCTGGGCCAGGGATGAGCCTACTGGGGAACATGGAGTGGTTCTAGCTATGAAGACACAAAAGCTTCAAGGACGAAGGTCAGGCAGGTGTTTATTTCTAGGCTTCTTTGAATTCTGGCTACCCTGGGTTTCTGGAGCTTCTCTCCAATATATCAGCAGGAAAAAATAATTATCCTATTCCTCCCTTTATCAAATTGAGTGCTTTTCAAAGACCTATTCTTTTTTTAAAAAAAAAATTTATTTGTTAATTTTAGTTACACATGGCAGTATAATGTACTTTGACATGTCATACATTCATGGAATATATTTTCACATTTTTATGGCTGTACCTGATGTGGAGTTACACTGATTATGAATTCACATGTGAACATGGGAAAGTCGTGTCTGATTTATTCTACTGTCTTTCCTATTCCCATCCCCCCTCCTTCCTTCATTCTCTTTGTCTAATCCAATGACTTCTACCTCCCCACACCCCCACTTATTGTGAGTTAGCATTCACATATCAGAGAGAACATTAGGCTTGGTTTTGGGGGATTTGCTTATTTTACGTAGCATGATAGTCTCCAGTTCCATCTATTTACCAGCAAATGCCATAATTTCTTTTTTTTATGACTGAGTAATATTCCATTGTGTATATATACCATATTTTCTTTATCCATTCATCTGTTGGAGGGCACCTAGGTTGGTCCCGTAGCTTAAGCTATTGTGAATTGAGCTGCTATAAACATTGATGTGGTCAGAGGCCTAGTTTTTTGCCTGAAGAACATTTCTAAGTGATGATTAATTATAGAGATGACTGACATTCTCTTAAGAATGCCTGAAGAATAGTCAAACCCTTCTAATTCACATCATCATTGTAGATAGACCTCCTCATATTTCTGAGGTTGTTGATACATCAGCCCTCTTCTCCCTCCATGAGCCCCACATCAGTTCAGAATCCCATCATTTCCATTCTTCCCATCCAGTATGGTATCTGTCTAGTAAGAGTGGAATATGGTTTCTTCTGGGACCTGCATTCATTGATCTACTCACTCATGTTTTTGCAAGGCAATTTTTTTGAGTGTTGTTATGGCCGGGTACACTGGGGATACAAAGATCAATAAGATACAGATTAAAGTCATGATTCTAAAGGACTTCATCTCCTTTGGGGAAATAGAAAAAGAAATAATTACAACAGTCATATAAAATTTATGTTAGAGTTTTGTCTTTGAAAGAGAGAGCTGAAGCAAAATAGACACTATCTTGCAATGATGTGGGCATAAGGAGAACAGAGGTGATAGGTCAGCTTCAGAGGGTCTTTCTGGGTCATTGCTTAGCCATGAAAAGGCACCAACT